GGGCCGGGGCCGGGCGGGGGCTCCGGGGGCCGGCGGGCCCGGGCTGTGTTCCGGGCTATGCAGTACTGGGTCTCGAACCGGCCGTGTACCGACCGGGCCGTATACCCGACCGGGCTACACGGAGTCGGGCTGTACAATGGAGCCGGCTGGATACCGGGCCGTGCTGTGTAGCGAGCCGTGCCGTACCGAGCCGGGCTGTACAGCGAGCCGTGCTGTATACCGGACAGTGCTCCATACCGGGCCGGGCCGTGCTGCTCCCTGCTGTGCCCCGTGCCGTGCCATATGCCGTGCCGTGCCCTGCTCCGTGCCAGCCCGTGCCCGGGGCTCCCGGCTGTGCCAGGCTGTACGGCCGGGCCGTGCCACGCAGCACCTGCCGGGCCGGCCCTGCCCCGCCGCCGCTCCGGAAGCCGCAGGCCCGGGCGCCGGGCCGTGCTTTGCCTCCCCACCCACGGCCCACGCCGGCTTTGGCAGGGCCCCCGCGGCTGGGACAGCCCCCCATCCCCGCCGGCGTGTGTGACAGCTCCTGTCACCCCCCTGCTGCCGGGATCTGGGCTGTCTGTACCCCACAGTGCTGGGGGTTCCTCACAGAAACCCTTCAGCAGCAGTGCAGCCTGGGGGTGGCTGTCCCTGTGCTGACCCCGTCCCTTGCAGGTGAAGAGGAAGCTGAATTTGGAGACGGATCACCAGTACATAGCAGAGAGTTTGCCAGTGAGCCGGGGCAAGGCCAGGAACCCTGCTAAAGGTATCAGCTCCACTCCCTCCGCCCCCCTTGTCAGCCCAGCTCAGAGCAGAGGTCCAGCACCCCCACTCTGCTCCCCTGCCATCCCTGGCAGGTTCTTCCAGGCCCTTTGTGTCAGTCTGGATGGGCTGTCCCTGCGGCTGGCCTGCCTCTGTCCACTCTCCACACTCACTGCTGTGCCCGGTGCTGGTGGCACGGTTGTCCTGCCCTTCTGCTGGGCACCACACTGGCTCTGTCCCTCCCTGTGGGATGGAGCTGGAGGTGCCAGCATGGTGTCAGTGCAGTGTCCCAGGTGGACCTGCTATTTTCTCCCCCCGAGCCCTGCCTGGCACTCGGAGTCTCAGTCACAGCTGTGGTCACAACGGAGCACAGATGTCACAGCCTGTGCCAGGTGCTGCAACATCCTTCCTGCAGGGCATTTGGGCAGCTCACCCCATTGCCCTGAGAAAACAGATTGGGTTTGGTCACTAGTCCACAAGCCACTTGCAAGCATGGCAGGAGTTTTGTGACCTTTCAGCTTCTTCTCTGGGTTTCCCTTGTGGCTGAATGACACTTGTCCCCCACGTCTGGCAGGGGCAAAGTCTCCTGGAGAGAAGTCCCGCTATGAAACCTCCCTGAACCTCACCACCAAGCGCTTCCTGGAGCTGCTGAGCCAGTCCCCAGATGGTGTGGTGGACCTCAACTGGGCGGCTGAGGTGCTGAAGGTGCAGAAGAGGCGTATCTACGACATCACCAATGTCCTGGAGGGCATACAGCTCATCACCAAGAAGTCCAAGAACCACATCCAGTGGCTGTATGTCCCTGGGCTCATGGGGCTGTGCCTGGCTGTTCCTGGGGTGGGGAAGCTGTCTGGGTGGAGGAGTGTCTTACTTGGATGGAGAATTTCAGGGTGGGGTCACCAGAGCTTCTGCTGCAGGCCAAGTGCTGGCCCCCTGTGGGAAGGGCTGTGCTCAATGGCATGAAGCTCCTGCGAGTCCCCCTGGGGCTCCCCATGTCATCCAGGGGAGGGGGGGCTGCATCCAGCCTTGGGGAGTGGTCTGCTGCAAATCCCTGCCGGGCTGGTTCCCTGGCTGTGGGGCGGGATGTGGCCTGGCCTGGGTGGGGCACAGGCAGCTGTGGGGGCTGGCTCCTGATGGGCACGGTGCTCCCCAGGGGCAGCCAGGCCACCGTGGGAGCGCCAGGCCGGCACCGGCTGCTGGAGAAGGAGCTGCGGGAGCTGCAGGCAGCCGAGCGGCAGCTGGATGACCTCATCCAGATGTGCACGGTGCAGCTGCGCCTGCTCACCGAGGACCCCGCCAACCAGCAATATCCTTTGGTTCTGGGCGGGGCTGGCTGGGTGGCGGCTGTGGTTGAGCCCCGGTGTCACAAGGCAGGGTGTTTCTCTGCCCACATCCCCTTGTCCCTTCCTTGACCCGCCCCACCGCAGCCTATGTCACCTGCCAGGACCTCCGCAGCATTGTGGACCCCGCGGAGCAAATGGTGATGGTTATCAAAGCCCCCCCAGAGACCCAGCTGCAGGTGTCAGACCCAGCAGAGGTGAGCTGGGGTCACTCTCTGCTCCTCCTGTGCCCTCCCTGAACAGCCTGGTGTTCCCTGGGCGTCCTTGTGCCACCTTGTCTCACTCCTGTCCCCTCCCCAGGCGTTCCAGGTCTCTGTGCGAAGCACTCAGGGCCCCATCGATGTGTTCCTCTGCCCCGAGGACAGCTCGGGGGTCTGCAGTCCTGTCAAGAGCCCCTTCAAAGCCCCTGCTGAGGACTCTTCTCCCAGCCATTCACAGCCCAGAGCCTCCCTGCTCCTGCATCCTGCCCAGGATGTGAACATGCCGCTGCTGCCTGGAGAGCAAGGTGGGCCTGGGGACATGAGAGAGCTGGGGACACAAAGGGCCTGGGGACACGAGGGAGCTAGGGACATGAGGAGCCTGGGGACACGAGGGAGGAGCTGGTGGGATGTCACGGTGGCTCTCAGCCCCTCTGCTCTTGGCACAAGCAAGGAGCTGGCATGCTGCTCGGGCACCCCAGCAAGGCAGGGGGGTGGGAAGGCAGGATCTCCATAGTCAAAAAAGCTTTTTTTGGAGTTTCTTTGGAGAGTATGATGGGATTTACAGCTGCTTTCCATCCCCACAGAAGCGCTGCTGCCAGGGCCGAGCGCGCTGCCCAGCAAGAGCCCGGAGGAGGAGGTAAGCCTGTCCCCGCTGGCCTCCATGGACATGCTGCTGGAGCAGAGCAGGGAGGACTTGGCGGGCTTCTTGGCCGATGAGTTCATCAACCTGTCGCCGCCGCAGGCGCAGGACTATCACTTTGGGCTGGAGGAGGGCGAGGGCATCAGTGAGCTCTTCGACTGCAACTTTGGGGACTTCACCCCCTTGGACTTCTGAAGCTGTGCCCGCCCGGGTGCTCGGGGGAGCTGCCAGGGCAGGGGGCAGCGCTGGCAGGGCAGGGCAGGGCGGGGCAGGGCTGCCCCTCTGGCTCCAGTGCCCGCCGTTCCTCCCCCATCCCTTTTTGCAATATTTTCTCGTTATCCCTCCAGCCTGCTGGCATCCCCAGCTCCAGCCCCACAAGAGGATGCCAGGGTGGGGTTCCCATCTCGGGGGACCCCCCATCTCGGGGGACCCCCCCATCTCGGGGGCCCTGATCAGGGGCGACTGCCCAGGGCAGAGCCACTGCCCCCCAGGAGCCCATTCCAGAGCTTTAAGCAGTCCTGTGTATAGATTAATGATTTGATTAATTTATTATTGTCCCCTGGGGACAGCGTTTCATTTCCATGGGGGTTTGGGGGGGCTGTACAGCAGAGTGGGGGTGCTGAGAGTTTTTGTTGTGCTGGGAGGGGGTGGTGGAGATGCGGGGGGCTCTGGGTTGGGGCTGTCCCCCTGCATGGGGGCTGCCCACAGCCTGGCTGAGCGTGGGTTATTTATTTATTATTTATGGCATGTGGAGCTCTCCCAGGACATGGAGGGGGCAGGAGGACAGTGCTGGTGGGACATGGAGGGTGCCACCAGGGTCTCACCAGCACATCCTGGCTTTGCTTGTGTCCAGAACGGGGCTGGCAAGGCCACGGCTGTGGCAGGTGGCTGCGGGAGCGGGGACGGGGCTGGGTGGGGCTGGTGGCCCTGGCACCGTGTGCGTGTCCCCTCAGGGGACACAGAGGTGTCCAGGGGGAGTGTCTCTGCAGGTGAGCACCCAACGCTGTCTCCAGGCTTCCCTTCCCCTCCCTGTGCAGCCCTTCAGCCTTACGGCTCTGGCTCCCCATCCCAGGCCACTGGGGCTGGGAGAGGAGGGGAGGGGGGTCCTGGGGTCCCCCTGGGCTGAGCTGGAGACGCACTTTCACTTTTACTGCCATTTAACAAGCTTGTGTTCCTCTGAGCTTTGTGTTTAATAAAGGTTTCTACTGACTCTGCCCTTCGGCTGTGCTCAGGTGCTGGGGGTGTGAGGGGTGGTGGGGACCTCTGCTGAGAAAGGGAGGTTTGGGCTTCTTTTGTGCTCTGTTTTCCACTTTGAACTTGAAATCCATGACCAGGTGTGTTCGTACCTGGGGCTGCCAGAGGTGCTTTGGTCCTTGGTCCCACACAGGGTGGGATCTGGGCCTGATCCTTCCCTCCCTGCTCCTCCAAAGAGGCTGTGCTGCAGGAGGATGGGATGATGGGTCTGGATGGGGTTTGCTTTCCTTTCAGCAGCCCCTGTCCTCACTTGGCTCCTCTCCTGGCAGCATTTTCCTGGCTGTGGCTGCAGCACGGGGCCAGTGTGAAGCCACTCCATCCACTGAGTTCCCAGCTTTCCCCATTCACCCAGCTCTTGGTGCTGCCTCAAGCCACCTGCTGGCACCAGTTTCCAGCCCAAAGTTCGAGGTCCCTGTGTCCTTGCTGGCTGGGGACACGCTGTCTGCCAGCAGCAGCCCTGACCCTGCGTGCCCTGATCCCTCTGCAGGGACTGAGGCATTGGGGACCCCCAGGGAGGGGTGCTGGGAGTTGCCAGGGGCTCCCTGGCAGCCAGGAGGGGCTCAGCAGGGCTGTGTCCCCTGCCCTAGTGGCAGCCAGGGCCGTGCTACTTCCTGCCTGTGTTTGTGCACTTTCTCCCCTCCTCCTGCCCAGCCTCCTGCCTGGTTTTCCTTTAAACAGCCTGATAAATATTTCACCCTGACCATGTTGTGTAAACTCACCCCGCTCCTGCAGCGGCAGGCAATGGGATGCCAGGCTCAGCACAGGCTGCTGGGCGCCACAGAGAGCCCATCACCACTGCCTGGCCTCCTGCCTGCATCCTTGTGCCTCTCTTCCCACAGCTGGGGCAGTCCCTGGCTGGCTGTGCTGCCCCTGGATTGTTCTCACAGCTGGGAATGTGTGGGTGCAGGTGCAGGAGTGGGGTGCCAAGCCCCACGGCTCAGCTCCGCACACCATTCCCTTTCCCAGCTTTCCCAGCATCCAAAGCATGGCAGCAGGGCCAGCCAGGGCCCTGCCATCTCCAAACCAGTGCCCAGCAGGGTGGTGTCACACACAGCCTGTCACCACATTTCTCTTTACAAAGAAAAGCAAGGCACAACTTCCCAAGAATATTTCTGGAATTTACATTCTCTGAACCTCAAAGAAAGGAAAAACCAATTCTGTTCTCATTTACTGCTCCTGTGTTGTTCACAAGTAAAATGTATTGTGAAAAATTTACCTAAAGAGAATTAGTAATTAAATTTTAGTGTATTTTAATTCATTAACCAATTAAATCCATGTGTGTGTGTGTGTGTGTCAAAACTGTCAGCTGACAGTCACAAAATTCTAAACAGTGAAGTACAATTAAGTGCTTGTACAAATTCAGTTAAAATATAGTGTAATATAGTATAGAATAATATAGAATAATAAAGTAATTCATTAACCTTCTGATAAGATGGAGTCCTCCTCGTCGTTTCTCCCTGCCACAGGGGTTGTGCTGAATACTACAGGTGACCCCTGTGCCTGGGTGGGAAGATCTGGTTTGTCACACTGCCACCCCTTCAAACGGGGCTTTTCCACACAGTGACACTGGAACTGTTCCTGCTGCGCTGATCCATGGCACTCCTGCCCACAGAGCCAGGGCAGGAGGACAGGGACAGGTGGGAGGGCACAGCCCCTGCCTGCCGTGTCCTCCACTGCAGGGCTGCTGTTTGTCCCCTGAGGTGGCAGGTGCTGGGGCTTCTGTGAGTCTCTGCAGGGTGCCCAGCCCAGCCATGTGCCAGTGTTGTGGAGCACTAGTTTATTTAGTTGTTCTTTTGCACTGGGTGATGGAAATTTGCACAGAGTAATGTTTATATTGCACTGTATAGCTTATGCTGTATCACATGGTTTGTTATCCCTTTCCCCCATCAGGTGGTCTTTGCCTCACCCACCCCAGTCCCCCCTGGTGGTCTCTCTCCTGGGTTACCCCTCTCCTCGCCACTCCCCACTGGTGTCCCACTGGCTGTAGACCTCTTCCTCTGTCCCCACCCCCGGGGTATAAAAGTTCCCTGCCGCCAGGGAATGCTCTTTTTCCCATGGGTGTGTGTGCAGTGTCCCCAGTAACAAAGTACTCACTGACCAGTCTTGTGCGATCTTTTGGCAAGTCCTGCAAGTCTCCTGGCAGGTCCACTCCAATGCCCGTCCACTGGGTAGACCTGAAAACAAAAGCTTTGGTGCTCACAAGCTGCCAGCTCCTCCCCAGCCATCCCTCCTCCTCTCCTCTGCCGAGTTCCGTGGTGATGGATGCTGATGCTGATAGTGATGGTGATCTGCAGTGCTGCAAAGGGGAGAGACCCCGGCACAGGAAATGGTTTTTTGGGAGCCAGGGAGCACAGGGAGAGGGGACAGGACTTGCACTGACATCCCGAGCTCCACAGGGCTGTTCCCACAGCCAGCCCACCCCCAGCAGCAGCACAGCTCTGCCTCTTTCCCCGAGAGAAGGCAAAGCTCTCTGATGGCAACACCATCACACTGCCCTCACAGGGAGCCTCTGGGACCCCTGGCACTGCCACCCCCCTGGCAGGGACAGGGCTGTGTCCCCCTGCAGCAGCACTGCCCAGCCCTGGGGGCTGCATTGCCACTCCACGTGAGCCACGGCACCGTAAAAATAACCACTCTGCCTCCCAGGATGATTCATGATGCAGCTGAAGGGCTTCCCTCTGCTATTTCGGGTGGCTGGAGAGGGAGCTGATGGCAGCTGCTTTGGAAGAGCACATGGCAGCGTTGGGAAGCAGCCCCAGGCACCGCCTGGTTTGATTTATCTGCTGCAAAGCTGCTTTTCTCTGTCAGGTGAAGGCAGCACGGTCAGGGGATGGGCACCTTGCACTCATCCTGCCTGCTCCTTGGGCTCTCAGCTCACTGCCAGGCAGTGGGACCCCACAGGGACCACGTCCAGCCAGCCTGGGCTGCTCTTGGGCTGCACTGGTGACCCCACTGGCACTGGAAAATGCTGTGCAGGATCTGCTGAGCCCAGGCAGCCCCGGGGTGTGCTGGCCCTGTGCTGTAGGGCTGGGATCTGGGGGTCAGGTGAGCTCCAGGACAGGCTGGCAGTGGCATTAGATGCCCCCCTAAGGGGTTTGTACCTTTAACCTAACCCCCCTCAGAGGGTCCTAGCAGGGTTTGGGGTCTCTATAAGCAGGGGTGTCCTGCCCCACCTCTGCATCCCACCCCACCCTTCCCTATTTCCACTCCCAAAAACCTCTCCTGTTTGCTCCACGAGGAGGGAACTCAGGGAGCTGAAGAGCAGCATTGTTTATTCCTGGGATGCTGTTGAGTGGCTGCTCCCTGTAATTCCTCCCCACTGAGGTGCTGGGGAGCAGAGCAGAGCCCTGGTGTCCCCCACAGCCGGGGCCATGTCCCCCTTCCCTGCCGTGGCTTTCTGGGAGCTGGGGGCACCGGTTACCTCCTGCCATCAGCAGTTTGCCTGAACTTCACCCTCACTCTCAGGCTGCTCCTTCCCACATGGAAACTCATGCTGACTCCCAGGCATCCCACTGGGCACCAAGTGTGGATTTTTGGGGCAGATGGGTGTGGGAAGCCCTTCCAAGGGGAGGATTTTGATCCATGGCAGAGCCTTACCATCACCCAAGCCCCTTCCATGCTCCTTGGCAAGGTGAGCCCCTGTCCCTGCTGCAACCCTTGCCTGTGTTTTGTTCCTGCTCCCATTTCTGTTGGATTTGATGATGGCTGTGCTCAGCAGCTCCAGCCCTTGGACCTCTCTGCCTCCCTGGGGACAGGGACAGCCCCGTGCCAAGGGCAGTGAGTGCACGTGCACCCTGGAGCCCTTGGATGCCCCTGCCAGGGCCCAGCTGTGCTTTTTCCACCTCTTTTGCCTTGCACACACCTGGAACAGCTGGGAGATGGTAAAAATAGCTGTGATGCCGTGGGCTCAGCTTGGAGCACGTTATCCCAGAGGGAGCAGGAGGTGAGCGAGCTCCACGTGCTGCAGTTGGTCACGCTGGGGTGGGGAAGGAGCTTGGATCTGAGCCTGGCTTAAGCAGAGCTGAGCTCAGCAATCAGGGTGTCCTGGAGAGCTCCATGTGAAAGCAGAGTGGTGCTGAGAGAGGCAAAGCTTGCCTGGGATTTTGCAAAATCCAAGAAAAACAGGTTCATGCCCCTTTTTTAGGAAGTGAAATTCTGGAATGCAGGCACAAGCCCCCAAGTGCCAGGCAGGGGATGGGGACAGCTCCAGCTCCTCCCCCTCCCCCTCCTCCTCCTCCTTGTGTCCCCCAGCCTGCTGGGGCAGGGGGGGCTCACATCTCTGGAGGTACCAGGATCCTGGCATGATGCTCTGGAGCAGCTCGGAGCAAAGGCTGCCTGGCACTGGGGGCATGGAGGAGCTGGCACCACCAGGAACTCATTGGAACCAGTCTGGGTGTCAGGGGACCCCTCCAGGGCCACCAAAACCACAGTGGGACCACCTGTGGTCAAACTGGGGCCAATCCAGGGCCAGCTGAGGAAACCAGGACCTTCCCAGTGCCATCAGTGTCCATGTTGGGACCACCTGTGATCAAACTGGGACCAACTGGGACAATCAGGGCTATCCCAAAGCCAACAGCAACTGCACTGGGACCACTGTGGTCAAACTGGGACCAACTGGAGCCACAGTAGGACAACCAGGGCCATGCTAGGACCAGACATGACCACACTATGCCCACCCATGGTCAAACTGGGGCATCCCAGGGCCATCTGGGGCAACCAGGGCTACCCTGGGGCCAAGAGCAACCACACTGGGACCATCCACGGCTCAACTGGGACCAACTGGGGCCGCATTGGTGCAATCAGCACTATGGTGGGGCCAACAGCAACCACACTGGGACCACCCACAGTCAAACTGGGACCAACTGGGGCCTCGCTTAGGGCACCCAGGGCTACGGTGGGGTCAACAACGACCACAGTGGGACCATCCATCACCAGACTAGAGCCACCCCAGGGCCAGCTGAGGCACCCAGCGCTACAGCGGGGCCAGCAGTGACCACACGGACACCAATGCTCACACGGGGACACTCAGGGACGGTCACACACCCCACGAGTGGAGCCCACTGGGCTGCTCTGGGTCCAACTGGGACCGCCCCGGCGGCGAGCGGGCACGGGGACCCAGCGCGGCCCCGCCCCTCTCCCCTCCGCCAAGCCTATTGGTGGTTATTGGTGTCAATCACAGTCCGTGGCCAATCGGATGGCGGAGTGGGCGGGCCCTCCGCGGAGCCAAAGTTGGCTGGGGCGGCGGAGCCGCTCGGCTGAGTCGGGATCGGCGGGGCGCGACCTGCACACGGACCGGGCCGAGCCGAGCCGAACCGGGCCGAACCGAGCCTGCCGAGCCGGGCGGAACCACCCTGCCCAATCTAACTGAGCCGCACCGAACAGAAACGAACCCATCCCTACAGCACCGAACAGAACCGAACCTATCCCTCCGGCACGCAGCTGATCCCTAAGGCACGGAACCAGACCCATCCCTACCGCACCGAGGCCATTCTTTCCGCACCCAGCCCATCTCTACGGTACCGCACCGAGCCCGTGCCCTGCGGTACCGCTCCGCATCCCAGGGCACCGCACCGCGCCCTAAGGCTCTGCACCCTCCGGCTCCGCTCCGCTCCGCGGTGTCCGCAGCACCCGCGCCCGCCGGGACCATGATGTCGTGTGCCGAGCTGCTGGCCGTGTGCCTGCTCTCCGCAGATCGCGGCCCCAAGCCCCACCGCCAGCCGCTGCCCATCTTCCACGACGTGAGTACCGCGGGCGGGACCCCCGCACCCTGCCCAGCCCCGGGGCCGCCGTGCCCCCTCGGGGAGCCGCCGCACGGGCGGCGTCGGGGTGAGGCTCCTTCCCGGAGGAACCGGCCCGAGGGATGCGCCCGTGCCAGCCCGGAGCTGTGCATGGTCGCGATGGCTTCAGCAATGATGTCGTGTCCTCCTGCTGGATGCTGGGCCTCTGGTGGCTGCAGACAGCCCACGCCTCTTCCAGAGCTGGCTGTCATGACTCCCGGAGCGGGAGCTGTGTGGCAGGAACGCTGTAGAAGGTTCCCTGGAGCTGTTCACAGCCATGGGATTCAGCAGAGCGTTGCCTGCGGCAGCCCCCGGGTGCAGCCCCTGTCCCTGCCCGCTCCCGAAGCTCCGGGATTGTGGAGGAGGATGCTCCGCCCGGGTTGGAGGTTGCCTCGGCATCCTGGCGGCTGTGGGTGGCACGGGGGAGTTGGAAATGCAGGTGGTGGCTCTTTGTGTTCGGGGATGCTGGCACAGTTCCTCCTGTCACACCGCGTCCCCTCCTGTGACGGGGGCCGGGGCTCCGGGGGAGGCGGCGGCATGCCGGGCAGGTGCCAGAGCCACCCCTGGAGCACCTCCTGCTCCTGCCCAAATCTCCCTGGTGACAGAGCCCTGGCATTGCCGAGGGTCCGGCACCGCTGCGCTCCGAGCCACCCTGTGGACCAGGGACATGTGGGGACAGAGGTGCTGCCCCTGGCCTGCCGCAGGGAGGAGGAGGAGAAAACCAGCGAGGGTTAAGGAGGAGGGCTGGTGGTGCCCGGGCACCTGAGCAGCCCAGGTCGGTGCCAGCTGTCCTGTCCCTGCTGTCATCTCCGTCCTGACCCGCTCCAGGTTCACCCCCGTGCCCCAGTCCATCCCCGAGGAGGGGAACAGCAGATCCCGGGCAGCACTTTGGGAAGGTGAATGCCACGTCTGGTCCAGCCCAAACCTCCTGGCAAGCCCAGGGAGGCGCTGGGGAGCGCGGCCGTGGTGCCGCTCGCAGCTGCCAGCTGGGGATCGGGGTCTCTGTGCTGCCGGGGGGGCTCGGGCTGCCAGGCTCTCCAGCCAGCATCATTAACCGCCCTAATTACTTGGCTGAGGGAAGGTGGGCAGGAGGGGGCGGGTGGTGACAGCTGTGTTCCAGCTCAGCTCCTCAGGGCACTCGTAGAGTCGCACATCCATCCCTCAGGGTGTCATTAAAGCAATTAAAATGGGAAATGTTAACAACGCTAGCAGCTGCTTTCCGGGTTCTGACGGCTTCTCTTCCTCTACCCTGTGACTCCTTTGCTCCCACCTTTGCTCCGGAGCTGGCAGGGTGAGTTTAATCTCTGCACCTTTGGGTCTGGGCACTTGGCCGGTGCCCAGCTGCCCCCAGGCTGGTTGGGGCGAGCATCCCTCGGCAGCTCCTGCCCCGCCTGCTCCCGGCAGCGCTGCCCAACACAGATCCCGGCGGCTGCTGCTCCTCTGAGACCTGCCTGCACATCTCCTGCCTTTGGGAGAAGTGAGGAGGAGGAGGAGGAGGGCTTTGCCCGAGACGCTTCGCTGCAGGCGCGGTACGAGCCGCAGTACTGCCATGGCCCTGTGCAGCTTCTCCGGCCGCGGGGAGATTCAGGCTGGTGCCCGGGGCTGGCTCTCTCCCGTCCCGGGACACGGGAGCTTCAGGAAGGACGGGTTCTGGTGCCTGGCCGCAGGCTGTCTAGCCTGCCGCGGGTCGATGTCGCATTGTCCCCAGGGCAGCTGTCCCCTCCCCAGCAGCCGCCTGTCCCTGGCTACCTGTCCAGCAGCCGCGGCTGCCTCCAGACCTGCAGGCAGGGAGAAATCCTGTAATCTCCTTCCTTCCCGGGGTACGTGTGGGGCTCATGCCATAAATAAATGCTGTTTCAGTGCCTCTTCCCTCGGTCTGGTGAGGCTGCGGCTGCTTGGGCACAAGCTCAAGGGCTGAGGGAACATCCCGGGCTCCAGGCAGTGCCCCTGTGCCTCCGAGGCTGCACTCTGAGGTAAGAGAGGGATTCCTTGCAGGGCCCTCCAGCAGCCCACGCAGACCTAATCCCCCTCCCAGCCTGGCTTTGCATCACCTTTCCCGGGCTTTGTCCCAGGGTGCTGTCCGCACTGGGGACAGAGCTCACGGCCATGGCTGAGCATGTGCCTGTGCCCAGGGAGGGGACAGCTCTGGCCCTGTGGAGCATGGAAGGGCTCTGTGTTGGTCCTGGGCTCAGGGATGGGCTGGCTGCAGGCAGCCGGGGCCAGGGCTGTGCCATGCCAGGGGCTGTGCCATGCCAGAGCCCTGCCGTGCCAGGGGCTGTGCCATGCCAGGGGCTGTGCCGTGCCAGGGGCTGTGCCATGCCAGAGCCCTGTCATGCCAGGGGCTGTGCCATGCCAGAGCCCTGCCATGCCGGGGGCTGTGCCATGCCAGGGGCTGTGCCATGCCAGGGCTGTGCCATGCCGGGGGCTCTGCAGCAGACGTGGCCTTGCCCTGGTGGCACTCACAGCTCCTGCCTGTGCCCTGTTTGTTTGGAGCTGTCGTGTGTGCACTGGCTCATGTAACTCACTGAGCCTTGGGAGTGAGGGAGAGGCATCCACTGTGTGTGCTGAGGCTCCTGCTGAAGCCACAGTGGGCTCACCCCGGGTTAGAGACCTCCTCAGCCCCAGGGGATCTCCCCTGAAGTTGTGTTCTGCCTCTGAGTCCGCAGATAAACCCGGCTGAGCAAGGCCAGCCCGTGAGTGGGAAATGTTTGCCCTCGCTCGAAGTGCCTGGGTGACACTTGACTGTCTCTGAGATGAGCTAGGTGGCCTCTGTGACACCTGGAGCCACAGAGGTGTCATTACATGAGCCATGTGTCCCTCTGATGACACAGAGCTCTGCAGGATGAAGCTTCTCCTTTGATGGAGAGTCCATGGCAGGGTCTGCCCCTGCAGTCGTGAGACCCCACAAGGAACCCATTAACCTGGAGAAAGCTTTGCTCTAAATCCAGAGAAATCGCCACTGTTTGGGAGCTGCAGGTCCCATCTCAGCTCTCAGTGCGTGCTGTGTGCTGCTCGGGGGGTGCCCACCCCCTTTCTGGCCGGCTGGGATCCCGGGGGATGGATGGATGGTTGGTTTCCTGCTCTGCCCGGCCCGGGGCAGCCCCCGCTCCTCAGCCTGGGGCAGGAGGAGCTCGCTGTGCTCGCCGGAGCATCCTCCAAGGAGTTGCTCCTGCTCCTGGCTCCGGGGAAGGAACAGGGAGCTCCAGCCCTAGAACAGCCTCTGCCCAGCTGCAAGCCAGAGTTCAGGGGGTTTTCCTGGGCAGCTCCTACTTTGCCTCAGTTTCTCAGGGCGGTGTCGGGGCCTCGGAACAGCGCGGGGCTGGCGGGGGCGGCGCGGGGGGAGCCGGGCAGAGGGCAGCGGTGCCTCTGCCTGCTCCGAGGGCGGAGTGGGGGCAAGAACAGAGAGGTTCTGTCTCCTTTCCCGGCCCTATTTCTTTCCTAATCTTTCTTCAGACCTGCAGATTTCTTCATCAGCCAGGATGATATAAAGGACAGCTGCCTCACAGACAATTTTCTGTCGTTGGCTACATTAGGGTGTGCTGGACGAAACCTCGTACATTTTGGTCTGGGAAAACGTTGCCAGGCTTCAGAAGTGATGCTGTTCCTCATTAGAGTCAGCCCCAGACCTTCCAATAATTCCTGGTGAATCAGCTCCCGGCAGGGCTGAGCTGCTCCAGCTTTCTCCTGGGGCATGGGAGAAAGCTCATGGTTGGGAATCTGCGTTGAGACCCTGAACTGGAGCAGCTCTCCAGCTGTGCTCTGTGGCCGAAGCAGTTACAGATTAATTAATTCATTAATGATTAATTGCAGTGAGTGTGCGTGCCGAGGTGTTGGGGAAGGGCTGTGCTGAGGGGAGGTTACAAGGCTCAGGGCAGGAGCTGCTCGGTGCAGGTGCTGGAGTGTTGGAGATGCACAAAGTGCTTCTTTACAGACTGGGTTTATTCCTAATGTTCTTTCATTTAAGTGGACTGAAAAATTAAACAGTTGCCATCACAAGGATGTAGCAAAGTCCTTTCTGCTTCGCCTCTGTGTTCTCTAAAGCTGCTTGCTGTGAGTGCCGGCCTCGCTCAGCCAAGGGCTCTGTGCATTAGAGGCAAGAAATGGGTTTAATCATTGGCAAAGGGGAATTTCCCGGAGCAGCCTGTGCAGTCCTAACAGCTGGGGCTTCTCCCTGAGCTCCTGGCGGTGATTTTCCGTGGTGCTGGGTTCTGCCTGGCTCGCTGTTCAGCTGCCCTTCTCTCCCTGCTGCCACGCTGAGCCCTGTTGTGTTTTGTCTTGCAGATTTTCCGGCGAGCCGACAAGAACGGTGAGTGCTTTGTTCCTGCTGCTGCCTCCCCCTCCCTGCCTGGCTCGTTCCCACTGGGAGGTTTGGCTGGAAGAGGGAGGGTGGAAAACGCTTTCCTGCTTCACCTAGATCCCAGAGCCTGCCCAGGGCTGGGGAATGGGCTCCCCCAATTCCCCATCTGTGCACCACGCGGGACACAGCCCCTTCCAAACCCTTCTCCTGCCCAGGGGCTGTCAGGCTTCTGCTCGGTCCCTCACAGGATTGGTTCTGTCTCTGTGCTCAGTCCAGGGTTTTACAGGTGCTCCTGGCTGGGTGATCCTGTTTCTGGGTGCCCCTGGAGCCCCTGGTATTTGGGAGTTAGGCTCTGCTACCCAGTTTTTAATCCAGCACCCATAAACCAAGCGGTCCAAAATCACAAGTGGTTTCCCTGAGCCTTCCCACACTCTCTCGGGCTCTTTTCCTTCCTGGTAGCTTAGGAGATGCTTTTATTGCAGATCACAATGCAGCCCAGGAGCTGAAGTCCTCCACAGAGAGGAAGAAAAAAGCTCTTGAGTCTATGGAGAGCACTTTCTTTCCATGGAAACCTGATGCTGCCCTGAGTGTGCTGTTTGTTCTTGGACAGTCTGCATGCCGCTGCAATGGGGCCTTTAGGGAAGGGCTGAAATCCCCACCTGCAATTCCAGCAGCACCCAGTGTTTTTGCCGGGCTGGTGGGCCAGGCTCTCAGGGAGATCTGTGCTGTAATTATCATGCAGAACACGCCCAGCCCCGTCCCACGCGGCCTGCAGGGCTGGGATGCTGCTTTCCACAGATATATAATTACTCTTCCCTTTCCTTTGAATGCAGATGATGGGAAGCTGTCATTTGAGGAGTTCAAGAACTATTTCTCTGATGGCATCCTGAGCTCGGAGGAGCTGTGGGAGTTGTTCAGTGGCATTGACAGGCGTCACTCAGAGTGAGTACCGTGGCGGTGGCACGGAGGGGACGCAGGAGAAGCTAAAACTGCCTGACTGGAGGGGGAGGAGGCTGGGAGGTGGGTGTGATAAATAGTCAGGGTGAGACAAACCCACCTCTTGCCACACGCAGGTGCTCAGAGCCACTGAGCACCAGCAGCGAGCCCTGGGAGTGCCGAGAGCAGTCAGACATTTTGAGAGCAGCCATCGGATTTCCTGCAGCTCCAAAGGCAAGCAGGCACTGAAAATGCCATTGCTGTGGTTTGGAAAAGGCACTCCAGGAACAGGCAGTCCGTGGAGCAGGCTGTGTGTCTGCAGGAGCCCGTGTTGGTGTGGGGACACACAAAGTCACAGACTCTGCCACTGCTGACTCAGGAACTGCTTGGCTCTTATGTAAGAGCTGCTTTCCAACACAAGTGGGCCTGGTGCATGTAACAGGGAATTTAGGGCAGCTACTTGAGAAAAAAAGAAAGCCCCTCAAAGCAGGAGAAGGAATTGTGTTTAGCTCTGGTCTCCTTGTGAGTGGTGTTATCCAGAGGGCTCTTTTGGGCTCGACTGGGATTCTCATCCCAGCTTTTTGGGTGTTTTTGGCCTCACTGGGGTCTCTGTGCCCAGCTGGGTGCTGTGGGTGAGTCTGTGCTGGCACTGGGAGGAGCTGGGTGCTGCTGAATGCATGGCTGGGCTCTGTGCACACCTTGGGGTGCTGCTGGGGCACAAGGGCACAGCTTCCTCCCAGTCTGGGGCAGGTTTGGCTTCCCCAGCACCAGCATCCCCTGCACCTCTGACACCCTTGACCAGGGCGCAGGTCCCTGCCAGGGTGAGGAAATTTGGGGCAGCCTGAGGTGCACACACTGGTCCCAGGGCTCTGCAGGGAGCCAGGGCAGTGGCACAGCGGGCCCTTGTCACACTGGGATGCCAACAGCCACCAAATGGCACCACAGCAGACACCCAGTGCCATCACCCACTCGGGAGTGGGGCAGTGGGAGCGAGGGGCTCCCAGTGCTGTTGGAGCTGGGTTTGGTTCCTGCTGCAGTGGTGGGCAGAGGAGTGGGCAGGGGTGGGCAGCCTTGTGCTGCTTTCCTGGGAGCCTGCTGCTTGGGCTTGTGGGTGTGGGCAGCAGGAGGTGTCTCCTGAAAGCCTCTCTGTCTCTGGGCTGTGATCCCAGGAAGCTGCAGTGAGTGTTCCCTTTCCTCTGGAAATGCTTCTTTCCTCTTTCTCCATTTTGGGGTGATCTCAGAGTCACAACAGCCCTGGAAAACACTGGGTGCAGCAAAAGCTGCACCAAGGGAAATATAGGTTGGATATTGGGAAAAAGCTTTTCATGGCAAGAGTGATAAAGCTCTGGCATGGCTGCCCGGGGAGGTGGTGCAGTCCCCATCCCTGGGTGTGTTTAACAAAGCCTGGATGTGGCACTGGGTGCCAGGGTTTAGTTGGGGTGTTGGGGCTGGGTTGGACTCGATGATCTTGGAGGTCTCTTCCAACCTTGTCATTCTGTGATTCTGTGAAGTTGGGAGCTTTAGCCCAGCTCAAAACTGAGCAGGGAAGGTCTCCTGCCTTCAGGTAGGGCTTGTTCCATCTGTCTGGAGCAGCTGAGGAGGCCTGACTGGGCTGTGCTGCCCCAGAGCCGTGGCTGCAGCAGTGCCCCCCCAGCTCGTCAGCTAACGAGGGCAGCTGTGACAGCATCGAGCTGGTGACATCTGTTAGCAGGACATGAGCCTTGGGTCTTTGTTCTCTTCCTGGCACCAAGAGCAGAAGGGACCCTCAGACAGAGTTGTTTGCAAATTCCTGCAAATGTAGGAAACATGGGGTTTGGGGAGTGCAGGATTTGGTGTTGTCTGGGGGCTGTGCTGGTGCCCTGCTGTCCCCATGGTGGCTTGGACATCCCTTCTCCCCTGGGCTTGTTCCTTGCACTGTCAGGGAGTTAATATTTCAGAGAGCTGGCCAAAATTTGCTGCCAGATTGAAGAGTAGTACAAAGCTGGGAAGCAGCTACAAGCTCTCCAAGCAGATCTGCTGTGCTGCTTTTGTGTCCTGAAGCTTTTGTGATGATGGGAAAGTTTCACCCTCAATCCAGCAGGTGGGTTTGGTGCTGTGTTTGTCATGTCTAGGCTGGAATTCGTGTTTCCTCATCCCTGCCAGGCTGACCTGGGGAGGGGCAGTAGCAGAGACCTCCAGGCCCAGACCCCTCCTGACCCTCACCCTTCCCTGGAACCTGCAGCTGCTGGGCCCAGAGCTGACAGCTGGGAACATGAATATTTCAGAGGTGTCCCACAGTTCTTGTTGTCCTTCCAGAGAGCCCCATGCCCTCCTCTGTCCACCTCCCAGCCCTCTGGCTCTCAGGTGGGACGCTGGCTCCTGTGCATCACACACCTCTGCTGGGGTCACTTCACATTCTGCATCTCCACACGAGGCTGTTCTTGTTCTGCATTGCAGAAAATGGTTCCATAAAGTGTCCCCTCACTTTACTTCTGTGCATTTCAAAGTTGATGTTGAACCCAAATTCAGCTCAGCATGGCAGCTGGTACAATGGCAGGTCCATGGCTTTGTTTGGCTGGTCCAGAGCTCCACACCAGCTCTGGCAGTGGCACACTAAGGTTCATCTTCCTGGAGAAGAGCATTTTCATCCTCTGAAATGTCTGGGTGAGAAGAGACTGTTGTTTTTGGAAGTATGAGAGCTCCATAGCTGCATCCAGAATTGCAGGGGTTGAATGCCTGCCCTGTGAAACCTGCCCAGGGAATTGCTGTTTGGATTTTACCTGTCCTTCTGTCCTGCACCTGTTGGGGAAATTGAGAAAAACAAGGCCTAGAAAATGCATCTTTCCATGAGGGTGTTCAGGAACTGGGTGCAGATTGCTCAGAGCCTTTGACCTGGAGCCACAAGGGATGGAAGTGCTGACCTGGTGCCTCTTAACATCTTTTGGTGGAAATAACCTCAAGCCTGTGATTGTGTGGAAGAAGGGATTTGAGTGGATTCCCTCTCCTCTCTTTACTCAGACACTGCAGCATCTGCCAGCCCCTGATGATGGAGAGTGACTGAAACACTCTGTGTCACACAAAAAAGGTTTGGAAACCAGATCTGTGATGGCAGTGGAGGTTCCCAACATGATAAATGATTAAAAAAAAAAACCAACCCGTCTGCTTTTCTGCAGATGATTGCTGTTTTCTTGCATAAATTCCAGGCACATTCTGACAAAATCCCAACAGCATAATGATGACAAGCTCCTCCATCATCAGTTCAGGCTTAATTACAGTTAATCAGTGGTTTGAGCACAGTCAAAATACAGTTATGGGAAATGTGGAGAGTCTCAGGATGAGTGCTTTGGAGGCAGAGGATGGCTCTTCTCTTGGAGTGGGAATGGCAGAGAGGAAAGCCTGCTGCCCCTGGCAGCCCTGCAAAATGGGTCAGGATTTGGTGTGCACATTCTGTCCCTGAGCTCCACCCCGTTTTTGGTGTGAATTGGTTCTGGCAGCATGAGAATGGCCCCACAGCCCCGGGGTTTGCCTGCTGTGCTCTGTCTGCCCCTGCCTGTGCCCGGGGGCTGCTGCAGCCTGGGGGACATGGGAGAGGCTCCCCTGCAGGGCTGCTGGTGGAACAGGGGGAAAAGGAGCAGATCTTCCCCTGGACAGCTCCCAGAGGGAGGATTTCTGCCACGAGATGTTGTTGATCGGTTCGATGTTCAGTGGTTTAGTGACTGATTAGCTAACATTTCTTGTTAAGCAGCAAGCAGCCAAGATATAAAGAGTTATTAATAACCTTAGAAGCCACAGGTGGGAGCTGATGGCAGCTCCTTGTCACACCTTGCTGGAGCTGGAATGGCAGCTGGTGGCTCCTTGCTCCTGCTGAAACCAGTCCCAGCCCCAGGTGCTCACTGGGACCAGTGCAAATGCCTGGATAATATAACGTGTGCACCAGGTGTCCACATCCCCTCTGGGCGACTCCTTCCCTTCTCTCAGGTGGGAGCCAGGGTTTCCCTGCAGCGCCAGCTCTGGCAGGCTGTGCTGTGGGTGCTGCAGTGCCAGGGCTCTTGCAGCACTGCAGCAGCTCTGCAGGCTCCAGGCAGCTGCCAGAAATAAAGGGGAAAACTTCAGAAGGAGCAAAATGTTTTTCCAGTGCACACCAGTGCCCCAAGCCCCAGTGTCTCTGTCAGGCAGAGCTGCCCAGAGATGGGATCAGCAAAGTTGGAGGTGGCAGAGCGAGGGGCTGTGGCTTTGCAGGTTTATCAGGATTGAGTCTCGAGGGAAACACGATTTTTTCTCCACTTTACAAAGTGCCTGCAGTGCCAGGTCAGTGCGCAGAGCCCTGCCTAAATCAGCTGCTGTGTGTTTAAAATAGCTGAGCTGAATCCCAGCCTCACGCTGCCCCTCCGTGCTGCCTCAGAGCTCCAGCTGCAGTCCCAGAGCAGAGGGGCTGCAGTCCCCTGCCCTGGCTCTGCCACCCTCACACCAAAATATTCCCCTGCTTTGAACCACTGCCCACTGTTCAAGTGTTCTCAGTGGAAGCCCAGGAGAAAGGGAGAGACAGAAACAGCCTTTGCTGTCTCGGGAAAAGCTGTAGGAAGATTTTTGCCTTAATTATTTCACCTTAAATGGCATTTTGGACACTTCACATGCTGTTCTCTAATTTTACATGGGGGTGTTTTTGTCCCTTTGCCCTGTGAGCAGTGTCAGAGCAGGGACAGGGTGATGTGGCTGTGGTTTCCCACACCCTGGACAGCAGCACTGCAGCATTCCTTGTGCTGGGAGCCTGGCAAACTCCAGGTACAGCCACTTCCTCCATGTGTGCCAGCACTTAAACACTTAAAAAACACTTGAAAAGCTCTCTTTGGGGCTCTCTTCCACTTTCCCAATCAAGATTAAAATTGGTTGTAATCATCTGGGGGATTTTGAGGCAGCAGAAGGCCTGGAGCAGAGGCTGATTTGAATAAATGCCATGCTGGGCTCTGTCCCTGCAGGCTCTGGGCATGGAGAGCAGCTCTGCCTCCGTGGCTTTGGCCACCTGAGCAGATCCTGCAGCACCATGGAGACCCAACCCAAAACCTGGGGCTGTTTCTGAACATTCCCTCCTCCCTCTCCCCCCCAGCAGCACCTTTAGCAGCCACAGGAGGGACCAAGCCCTGCAGGGATGCTGGGGGATTGTGCAGTGCAGTGCTGTTAGTGAAAAGGGTGGGGTCTGGCCCCTGCCTCCAGGATTTTGGAGCCAGATCCCTGCTTTAACGACCTTCAGGGCAGGAACAACTGCTCTGGAGGGCTGTGGGATCATCCAGCCCCTGGGAGCCTGCAGACAGCCCCGCAGCACTGGGCTCTGAGGGAGGGAAGAGGAGGAGCAGCAGCTGGAGGGGGTCCGGCCATGGGGAGGGCCTGGGCTGAGGTCAGGGATGACAGGGAGGGAGCCCTGGCTGGATGCTCCCCACCTCTGGGGGAAGAAGCTGGGTTGAAGAAGCAGCTCCAGGGTTCAGAAATGGGGCTGCCAACCCTGCTGGCCAGCCAGGGGTGTGGGGCACCTCCATCTCTACCCCACCCTGTTGTCACAGGTGCTCTCCCAGCACACTTCAGCTCCAGGAGATGGTGGTGGAACAGATCTTCCTGCTCCTTCATTAGCCCCTGGGTGCTGCAGGGGCTGGGAATGGCTCTGAGCTGCTGGCTCTGAACCTCTGCAGCCCCTTATTTTTCTAATGCAGCTTGTGAAAGTACATAAACATGAAAATCCACCAGGACTCAAGACAAGCCCCCAGACCCCTGCTCACCACCACTGTTTCCCCCACACCAGCCCCACTCTCTAACAGGAGCTTTTTGTGTTTCTTCCAGCAACGTGGACACGGAGAAGTTGTGTGGTAAGTCAGGGATGTTCCTGCCCTGGAGAGCTTCTCCTCCCCAGGGTGTGTGTGGTGGGGCTTGTGGTGTCTGACCTGGGCAGGAGTGGGTGGCTCAAAAGTCCCTGTGGCTGGATCCCAGCACAGAGCTGCTTTTCCCAAGGGGAAAGATGTCTTGGTTTGAAAAGACAGGTGTCTGCTAAGGAAAGCAGGAGCCTCCCCTGAAATGGAAAATGCAAACCTCCTCCCTCTGAATTATTATAATTTTGAAATTAAGGGGCTCTCAGGCAAAGATATGGGAAGAGGAACAACAGTTCTTTACTAGGGAAGAAAATTTAAATAAAATAAAAAATGCAGCAATACAAAACAACCCACTGCCAGAGTCAGAGCAGGCCCTGTCCCCTGTGGGTCAGCCCAGGACAATAGGGAAGGACTTTTCATTTCAGTCAATGTGGGAGAGTCATTCTGGAAAGGGAGGGAATTCCCCCTTGCAGGTTTGGGCTGAGTGTGGGGAGCAGGAGCAGGCAGAGATGGAGGTGCTCAGGAGCCTGACCATGGTGTTCTGTCCTGCTGCAGATTATTTCTCAGCGTACCTTGGGGAATACAGGAACGTGCTCTCTGCCCTGGAAACGCTCAACGCTGCGGTGCTGGCGGCCATGGACAAAACCAAGCTGGTAAGGATGGCACCAGGGGAGGGCAGCAGGGTGGGAAATTGGAGCTGTGTGAGCTCAGATGCTTCTTAATGTGGAATTTGGGGGCTGGAGGCAGCAAACCCCTCAAATCAGGGGTGTCTGTGCATGCTTGGTTTGCTGCATGTGCAGGCACACAGCCTGGAGGAGGAGAAGGGCAGCCTGCTGTCAGTGGATGGTGTTTGCTGGTACCTTTCCTGAAAGCATCTTCTGAGAAAGCTGCTCGGGCAAGTACAGACAGTCACTCAATCCACACTCTCACCATAGCTGGGTCAGCAAAAACAGATGGAAAGGGTCTCTGTATAGAGTTCTGTTGTAGAAACAGGCGATCCCCCAGCTGGGGAATAATGTGCTCTGACTCCAATGATTCCAGAAAGCTGAACAATTGCTCTATTAAGCTATACTATATTACACTAATACTATACTAAATCACATACTAAAGAGATACTATACTAAAGAATACTACACTAAAGAGATACTAAAGAAAAACCCATAACTGTCTCCAGACAGTCATGACACACGTGGATCCAATTGGTCAAGGAATCAAAACAACCTTCACTGGTGCCCAATTCACAAATCACTTTGGGTAAACAATCTCCATAACACATTCCACATGTGCCAAGCACAGGAACAGTGAATAGAGATAAGAATTTTTTTCTCTTTTTTCTCTGAGCTTTCTCTGCTTTCCCCAGGAAGAATCCTTGGTAAGGTTGTGCCTGCTGCTCTCTGTGAACAGAGCTATGGCCACAGAGTTCCAGTGAGGTTTATTGTAGAGTCACACTGAAGGAATCCAAGGACAAAGCCAGGGCAAATAGTGAGTGTCCTCAGTTAAGTATGGGGTCAGGAGCCAGTGGTTTGGAGGCACAGGGGTAGTGCAAAGGGCAGTGACCTATGAGAAAGGGCAGATTAACACAGCTGCAGGACACCATGAGAGAAGCCCCTTTTGACTCACCCTAAGGTGAGAGGCATTTTCAAAGCCTGTGGTAAATTCTTTCAGGGCAATATCCTAGAAGTTCCCTAATAGGCTCAAAGGTGTTCACAGAGAAAGGTAAATCCAAAATTTTTGTGCTGTGGAGACCTTATCTGGGTTCTGGGGACATCATCCCCCCCTTGCAGGGCTCTGGCAGTGCCTGTTCCAGCAGCTCCTTGCAGTGTCCTGCCCACGGACACTTTCTGGGAGCATCACTGAGAGCCTGTGTCGAGTTCTGAGCCAGAACAAAGTGTTCCCCCCCCAGCAGCGAGGCTCCAAACGAGCCCTGCAGGGCTGATGGTGCTCGGGAGGGAGCCAGCCCGGGCTGTGCTCACAGCACCGAGTGCTGGCTGCAGGAGAGGGGCAGGGGCAGCTGCAATTCCTGATCTCCCAGCCTGGTACAGAGCTCATTCCTGCTCTCCCAGCCTGGTACAGAGCTCATTCCTGCCCCAGTGCTCACCCTCTCCCCGCAGTTTGTGCTGATGGAAGCAGTTTGGAGGCTGCTGATTAGGGCAAGCTCCGAGCCCCAGCTCTGCTGAGCAGCCTCAGGATAAACAGTGGGGAAAGGCAGCCTGGAAGGGCCCTGCCCAGGGAGCAGCAGCTCCTTCTGCACCTGAGATGTGTCAGAGGGTTCAGCTGTGTGCTTGGGCTGCTGCTGAGCATGGGGAACACCCTTCCTTTGAAGCAGGTGAGGGGCATCATCCATGTGAATGCTCTTCTGAGCTCTTGCTCAGACAGAGAAGAGAAGGCAGACCAGTCCCACACTCACCAGAGTGGTGTTTGTGCCTCTGTGGTGTCAGTCCCTCTCTGGGTTTTCCTCTGGCAACAGCCAGCCTCAGCAGTGTCTCCCTGTACGTGTGGAAATTTCATGCCAGGAGAAGAAATCTCCTGAAAATGCATTTTCTCATTGGTTCAGGTCCCCAGCCCCACTCACAGTTATTAAATACAAGTCCAGAGGGAGAGGAGGAATCCTCTCCAGAGAGATATGCTTTATTTCAGTTCCTTTCTGTTGTTTTTTGGGGTAATGAATGTGTACAGTCATGTATTTCTCCAAAGAGCAGCACAGTCACTCCCTGCTCCACAGTGTTGGTGTGAGGCATTCACTCCCTCCAAAACTTCTGTGCTACTGCTGTTCCCTGGAAAAGAGAAGCAGGTTTTTCCTGTTGAAGCAAATTTTGCTGGGCTCGTTTCTCTCCCTGGAGCTGGGGCAGTGCAGTGTTCCCAGCACTGCTCTCACCAGGAGGAGCCCGTGCTGACCTAGGGCTCTGATCCCAGCCCTGATGTGCCCGGTGCAGGTATTGATCCTCCTGGGATCTCCCAGCCCTGATGTGCCCGGTGCAGGTATTGATCCTCCTGGGATCTCCCAGCCCTGATGTGCCCGGTGCAGGTATTGATCCTCCTGGGATCTCCCAGCCCTGATGTGCCCGGTGTAGGTATTGATCCTCCTGGGATCTCCCAGCCCTGATGTGCCCGGTGCAGGTATTGATCCTCCTGGATCCCTTCCCTGCACTCCCCTGCTGTGCTGGGCTCTGGTCTGGGCAGGAGGCAGGAGCTGTGGCAGGGATGCCTGCCTCTGCTGGAGGCTGCAGAGATGAGAAATGCTGCATTCCTACCTGCTGGCACCTGAGTGTGTTCCCACATTTGTATTTCCAGAGCTGGACTCCAGCTCGAGTTGTGATGGGATTAGTGGGCCGGGTTTTGGCCAAAGCTCACACCTCAGTGAGCCAGGCCAGAGGGCAGACGTCCCACACGGCACCTGCCCCTCAATTCTTCTGGTTCAGACACCCCTCTGGGGCCTGCGAGCCCCCTTTGGCACAGAGAGCACCCTCGTGGAAGAACCAGAGGAACTTTCACCCCAGGGAGCTGCTTGTGCACTGAGAAAACTGGAATGTTGGAGCCCTGGATACTGAGAGGTTCAGACTTTCTGTGCTGACAGGCACTGACCCTCAAGAAAACACTACATTTGACCTGAGGCCGTAGAGAAAACTTCCAAAATTAAATAACAGAACTAAGATTAAGAGTGTGTAGTTTAAATAGAAGTGGGTGATCAGGTAGTAGAAAACTTATAGTTTAGGGTTTTAGAATAATATATAAAAAGAATAATAGAATAATATTATAAAATATAATAATAAATAATATATACTATAATTAATGTAAAATAATAGATAATAGAATTAATATATAATGATATATAATATATAAGAATATATACTATCTCACATATAATTATAATGATATAATTATTAATATATAATATATAATTCATAATATAATACTAATTTAGAGTAATATATATAAAGGAATATAGAAGTTTTAAGGCAGAAGCTAGTCCTTCACCTTCTTCTTCATGAGTTTGAGCAGTATTATGTAATTGGATTAAAAAAATCCACATTGCAAGCCACAAGTAGTTATTAAAAGTAAAAATAATTTAAGTGTCATTTCTTAATGAAGCAGTTTATCCTTTAAAACCCTTGTAGAGAGAGAGATACAGCTCCATTTTTAGTTTATTAAAGTAGTATAGAAGTCACAATTTGTGAAACTCTAATATAGATTAGAACTAATAAACATCTAAGTCCAAACAAGAAATACCATCTCACGCATTTAATCCCAACGTTAACAAAAAGGAAGCAAAGACTCCTCAGTGGAAGAGCCCTGCAGAAGGATCTGCAGGCCCTGCCTGCTCTTGCCAGGCTGTGCTTAGGAGGACTTTGCCTGACTCTGGAGCGAGGTCCAGGCTGGCAGGAAGAAGGAGAAGGAGGAGATCTCTGGCTCGAGCTGTGTCCCAGCACAGCATCTCCTGCTTAGGGCATGATCCAGCTCCAGCTGCCCAGCCCTGCATCCTCCAGGGACACAGCTAGAAATGTGGAATATTTTATTTGCGAGGTGCCCCAATGAAGGAAGGAATGGTCAATCTGACTCCATGTTCTCAGAAGGCTAATTTTTTATTTTATGACACTATATTATATTAAAAAATACTATACTAAACTGTACTAAAGAATACAGAAAGGATACTTACGTAATGCTAAAAGATGATAATGAAAACTGGTGACTCTCGCCAGAGTCTGACACAGCTTGGCCCTGACTGGCCAAAGAGTGAAAACAGCTCACAGCAGAACCCAGTGAAACAATCACCTGTGGGTAAACAATCTCCAAACACATTCCACATGAGCACAAGACAGGAGAAGCAAATGAGATAAGAATTGTTTTCCTTTTCTCTGAGGCTTCTCAGCTTCCCAGGAGAATAATCCTGGGTGAAGGGATTTTTTCAAAGAATGTGAATGCTGCAGTGGAATGAGCAGGAAAACACCCAGAGAGCCTGGGGACTGCTCAGACCGTGCCAGGCAGCTCCCCAGGAGGGGAATCAGGAAATCAAGGCTCAGAGGGAATGTGCCATGGGGGTATTTGGGAGCTGTGGTTTGAGGCAGTGCTGCCAAAAGCCCTTGGGATGGAATATTCCCAGCTCTGTGCTCTCTGCAGGTCAGGACACCTGGCTTGGGTCACTGGGCTGTGTCCCAGCTGTCTCTGGCAGCTCCTCCATCTCCTTGTCAGAAGAAACCCTGGGACAAAGTGTGGGAAGTGCAAGCTGGGTTTGTCCTGTGTGCCTGCAGTTACTGCAGTGTCAGATTAGCCCTTTCCTGACCCAGAGATGGGGCAGCTGAGAGGTGTTCATTTTCAGTCTCATGTGAAGGGTGAGACGATACAGATGTTATAACTCACACCATCACAATCAGAAGCCAACTATTTCCTAATTACAATACACTATAAGCATTTGTTGGCCTATCAGCTTTAGCTACACTTTTAAAAAACTTATTTTATACTTATACTTTGTACTTAAATACATATACTTATATATATGTATATATACTTTTAAATATGTATATATGGTATATATATGCAGTATATATACAATATATATATTAATATATATACTTATATATATATATAAAGTATATACCTAGAAGCTTTATACTTATACTATACTTTTAAAAACTTATTTTTAGTTTCATTTCTCTCT